AGACGTTCTGGGGTTCTCCCAAGAAACAGAACTAATAAACCAATAGAATAGATGGAGAGAGAGAGAGAACATAGGAATTGGCTCATGTGATTAATAGAGGACAAGAAGTCCCACGATATGCTGTCCTTAAGCTGGAGAACCACGAAGCCAATGGTGTAATTCAGTATGAGTCCACAGAGTCCCAAGGACCAGGAGTACTGATACCCAAGGACAGAAGATGGATAACCCACTTGGAGAGAGAGCACATTTGCCTTCCTTCACCTTTTTGTTTGATTCAAGCCCTCAACAAATTGGATGATGCACACAAGCATTGCTGAAGGTGATCTTTACTCAGTCTACATATTTAAATGAACATACTTCTCATGTCAGTCCAATGGCTAAGACAAGCCTCAGTATCACATGACAATCACTGTGTCCTTGGAACCAAGAAGTACACTCTGACATCTCTGGCTTGTAAATTCCCCCAGGGTAAGACCAGAGCAGGACAAGGGAAAGCTGCAAGTGGCTGCAGAAAGATGACTTAACCTTGTATATCATAAGAGGACAGGGTAGATTTCTCTGACACCTGAGACATTGAGCTACAGCCTAACCTTGGTTGTTGTGAACTGCCAGGTATCAGTGTTTAGAAGATTCTCTACATTTCACTGGGCCACCAAATTCAAAGAGCTGAATCTATGCATGTACGTAAGCCTCTTTTTGAGAATTAGATGTAAAATAATTTTGAATTTTTATTTGTCCCAGTACTTGCCTCTCAAGTTGCAATACAAGGAGATTTTATTGCACAGGTAGTAAATAGTTATACTACATAAGGATAAATTTTGGTGGTTGTTTTCCCCAGTCTAAAGATGTCATGTCCACTCACTGACTTCCACCACCAGAAGGCTAGGACCTATGTCAGACTGCTATTATGTACACTTAGCTGGCTCCCAGTTTCCTCCCCATCTTCTGTTTTAAAAACTAATTTTCAGCAAGACCCTTTTAGTATGTTATTCCCTGATCAGAAATTATTCACAGGTTCCTATTTCTCATTACTTCAAGGCAAGACTTTTCATAATATTCTTGCCCAATCTCTTTTTCCCCTCCACTGTGCCACTCCACTTCTTCAAAATATACAATCTTAGTCAGGACACAGTTAATTCTCTTCACTTCCACTCAAGTGCCTTTGCCATTCATTCTTCAAGAGGCAACTGACAAGGAAGAAATATATTTATTCATGATTTGTGTCTGGCACTATACCTGTGCTAACTTCACAGCAAATCCTATTTCACAGATGAGGAAACTGAGGCTTAAGATCCCTAGATCACCTAACTAGCCATAAACTGTCTGCAATTCCTCCCATTTCCTTTGGTCTCAGAACCTCCCTATACCACAGTACTTTAGCACATTATTGTGTATGTACCATTTTGTTTCCTAATTGTAGCCTTGTCTTCCTCGTCTCAATGGTAAGCATACAAGGACCACATAGTATCTTTATAGCACGAAGTATACAGTAGATGCTAAAGAATCCTTGTTGACTAATTTTCTTATATGTCTACATATATTGATTCCCAGTACTGAGTGTTAGGCTATTTCAGGAGCCTTAGGACAGACTGTGTTACAGCCAGAAAACCATGTTTATTTGAGTAAGGAAAAAAGAGCTGTAACTGGCTGTGGTGAGCTCCTCCATTGCTCCTGTCTCTCAATTCATCCTCTCTAGAAAACAGGCTTAGGGAATTGGAAGCATTACATGAGCCCTCTGGGCTCTGCTGAGTATGGATAGTTCATCTATTAACCCTAGAAGTGTGGCAGATACCGTTCTAAAGACAGGTTCACAATTCTTTATCTGAGAGCTTTGAGGGCATGTGTGCCTTAGAAATCACAATTTTTCATATTTTGGAGAGTAGATATAGCACTTATGCTATGTATTATATAACTCCCTCTACAGGGTCTGAGTCAGTACCTACAATCAGACGCATTAAAACATCTCTGCGTCCCATCAAGTGGAATCAAGATGACAGCCTTGAGTCAGGTTGTGCCACCAAATAATTTGCTGCAAACTTGGAAGAAAACTTTTGGTCTTTAGAGCTTTTTGGATTTTAGAATTGTGGACAAAGAATTTTGAACATGTAATTGAAATGTATACTCATTTACTCTCTCAATAATTTGCAATACTATTCTTTATTTTGAAGATGAAGAAACTGAACCACAAATAGGTTGTATAAGGTGTCCAAGGTCACCTGGCTTGGAAGTGGCAGAGGCAGCATTTGAACCTGGACTGTCTGACTCCAGAATCTGTGCTGTTTAACACCATGAGTGCTGCCTCTCAAGGGGACTTTGCAAATCACACTAGCCTAAGTCTCACCCACTGGTTATGTGACCTGGAACAACTTCCTCAGCACACTGGACACCAGTTTCCTCCACTGCTGCTAAGAATGAAATGTAGATGTCAGCTGGCATCTTTCACCCTAGAACAGCTAGACCAGATGGTCCTGAAGTCCCAGTCCTGCTTTGCTTAAAGCCTACTCCAAGATTTCTTCGAGTTTCTAGAGGCTTATATTCTCATTCTCACTAAAGAGATGTAAATCAGTTGACATTATGAATTGTCCTGGTATTTTTTTTTTGTGAAGGAAGATGTGGACTCATATCTGAAACTCAGCCCTTCCTATCAAGAAGACAAATATGTTCAGACTGCTTGATATTTCTCTCCTTCTCAAAAGTCTTTTAGTCACCTCCCCACAATTCCACATTGCCCTAGCTTTCTCCTTACCTTCTCCCTTTCCCCTCCTTTCTCATTTCTTCTCCTTGTTCACTTCCTTGCCCCTTCCTCCCTTCTCTCCCCCTTCCTCTTCAGAGCAAACCCAAATTCTCTTTTTATTCCTCCCAGCATTTAGTAATTTTTTGGTGGCCTGGGATTTTGCTATTTATGCCTTCAAGGTATCATCTTCTCCCAGTGAATTATCAAAGTGTTTTATTACACAAAGGCTGTTAGTTCCTTTTCAAAGAGTTCTTTCCCTTTTGCCATCCCATGATGTCCAACCTAAATGCCATCTCCTCCCTTTCTGCACCCAGCCATACTGACAGACTCTCCTCCCTACTTCCCAACCACTGGTCAATGGCATTTGTCTTTCTTGCTTAGCTACTTAAACTTAATTGTCTTATATGCAAATGCCATGGCTACCGTAAAGCTGAATTGTCTCTTAATCACTTTCAATGGCCTAGTACCAGGATTTATTTTTAGTAGGTGTTCAGTACTACTAGAATATGATCACTCACTCAGTGATCATACAGTTAATAGGAATTGAAGCCTGTAGCCTCGCAACACTGGTCTTCATATTACTGAGAATGAAGGAAACTACCGGGGTTGAGATCTCAAATACAACTGTAGTGCCTTAGTCAGGAAAATAAATCAGATGATAGCCATGGAAAATGCATTCTATAAATCCTCACCCCCAGTGAAGTGTAATCCAGCCTTCACCAAAAGACATAAATATCTCAGCCTTGGTAATAAATTTATGCTCAACCCATAAATGAGAATCTAAGAGGGTTTCTTTACAACTTAGGGTCAGTGATGCTGAATAAGCTCTAGAAAAAATTTTCTGGCAGAAGTGGTTTGTCACACCAGGTGTTACCAGCATTTATGACAGTTCAGCACATCGACCACTTGATAAGTGAATGAATGCAGTAAGAAATGCAGAAGAGCTATAGCACTGGTGGCAGAGGTAATGAGCGCTGCCTGTTACCCTGCCCTTCTCCTCCTCCCTGGCCATGTGTCCATTACAGGAGAAAGAAGCCTGAATGTATGACCATCAGCAAGTAATTCAATTGCTCTAGGCTTGGTTTTATCAACCGTAAAATGAAAGCCTTGGGTTAAATGACCTCTATGGTAGGTTGGAATTGCTTGTAAGACTACATGGTAGTTGTTTTTAGAAAAGTAATACAGGTACATGGACATAAACACTCAAATGTTGTAGAGGCAAGTAATAAGTAAAAATCTTCCCCGTACCCGGCTCCCAGGTCTTTCTCCTCCGAGGTCCCTTTGAACTAATTCTTCTTATTCCTCTAAATCATATGCATATGCTTCTATTTCCTAATTTATTTACTCTAAGTAGTATCATTTATCTTTGTACTCTTCAAGACAAAGAATTTAGTTTACTACATTCTCCTATCTTTTAATTATAGGTATGACTACTTTAATGATTTATATCCATTTCATTACTTTAGTAGACTCAAAGCACCATTTCTTTTCTTTTTTCTTTTTTTTTTTTGCTAAAGCACTATTTAAAAAAAAAAATTAATGGAGGTACTGGAGATTGAACCCAGGACGTCCTGCATGCTAAGCACATGCTCTACCACTGAGCTATTCCCTCTCCCCAAAGCACTATTTCTTAATCCATCAATTTCAAGTACTAACTTTGCACTAAGTAAATTAGTGTTCCCTTTGCTTTTCTTCACTTCTCCCCCTGGAATTTCCCAGCTTCTGTCACTTAAATCATTATTTTTATATTGTCCAAATTTATCATGTTTAAATTCTCTCCTGTAACTATGGTTGTCTTTAACACTTTTTCTATAGGTTAATTCTGAAAATTGGAAGCAAATAAAATATAATTATGTGAATATTATTTACCGCAAAACTAGGTAGTGTACTTGCCTGTGCAGAGGAAGATGCAGTCCTGTGTCACCAAACCTGGGTCACTTGAAGAGGAATGCTTCAAGCATCAAAGTCACATTCTTCTTATATTCCACATTTTGCTCAAAATTATTTTACATTGTAGCTTGCTTCACATTATGAATTGCTTTCATTTCTAAATAACTTTGAACTTGAAATCTAGGTTGGCAGTTCTCAAACTTGGCTGGAGTGTAGCCTGAGCATCTGGGTCTCTTAATTTTGCCAGGTTATTCCAGTGAGTAGCCAAAGTTGACGATCCTGACCACTAATGCCAGTCATGTCTACTAGAGTCAGAAGTATTGAAACATACTGAGCCCTTTGAAAGCAAGAGCAGAAAGTAAAACCTGATACAAAATGAAGATTTGTAGAACATTTTATTTCTTTTTTGGTTGCAGCTGTCTCCGTCATAACCTACCACTGCTAAGACTGTTTAATACGATGCACTTCTCTGCACTCAGCTTATGAGGTGTTTCACTTGGTTATTTGGATGGGGAACTGATTCTGTTTTAAAGTCTATTCTTTTCTTAGATGGACACTCTGGGGCAGGTGAGCTGGAAATACTGTTAAGAAACTACTGTGTGAAATTTCATCAGATCCTTGATATTCAGACTTGCATTTCAATGACTGATTTTTTTTCCTTGTGTCTAAGAATTTAACATGCATTGTGTTCCCAGGATTCCAATCTAATTTTGTCTAATTTCCAGGGTCAGCTGAAAGGCTGTTGTTCCCTTTCGATCCTCCTATCAAGACACCTAGATGTGCGCGAGCCAGGCTGGCTGGCCTCGGGTTCTAGTAGGTGTAGCAGGCTGTGAAGAGAGACTGGGTGGAAGCAGTACCGGAAGAGCCCGTGTGAACATACTGTCCTTTGGCCGCCTGGCAGTTAGCCTAAAAAACAAGTGTGAGAGAGGAGACTGAGTCAGAGCAACCCTGGGCTTTGACTCCCTTTGCTTCCCACTGAAACCAGCTCCACCTCCATATGGATTTCTTTGTCTCCTTAAAATGCTGCTGATACCATCCCTTTCCTTCTATAAAATGTTACTCCCTTTTTTTAAATCTCAGTTTTCTGAGCATTTCTCAGGCAAGCCTGAGGTTTGTGTCAGTTACTGGGAAGGTTTTTTAGTACCAACAATATTGCAACAACAGTGCCAGAAATTAAAGTTGAGAAACTTCTCATTCTTACAGCGATAAGGAAATGGAAATTTCAATCCCAACATGGGGAACCTTGGAATAGCTGTTGAAATTAGCCTGCTGGGAAACAGACTAGATGTATGGCTGGGCATCAGGCAGGTGCAGCTGAAGTTTCATTAGCAAACAAAGTTTTTTGGAATAAATTTTCCATTTCATACCTATATTTGTCCATAAGACTATGTAGTTTTTAGCTAGTTGTTACTGTAATATCATTTGTTATCATGCAAATTCCAATTAAAGGTGAGCCCAGAATTATGAAACCTATAATCACATTTGAATGCTACTTAGCAGACTCGTGTCTTCAAGTCACAGTTGCTATTTTCTGATCTCTCCAGGACTTATTTCTCCATCTACAGTAATTTTTCAAAGTTAGGTTTCATGGATCTAAGCACTTGTGAGAAATGGAAATTCTCTAGCTTGACCCCAAACCTCCTCAATCACAAACTCAGTGGCTGGGGTCCAGCCGCCTGCGTTTTAATGTGCCCTTAGGTGATTCGGATACACGCTTAGGCTTGAGAATCACCATTCCAGATGATAAACAGCACCCCTTCTTTCGTGTGGATGGCCCTTCTGACCCTTGCTTTCAAAATCCCTCCATCTTATTAGCTACATCTTCCCACCTCATCAGCCACACACCAGCACAGCCATAGATAGCCATCCTTGTCACGAGGTAAAGCACTACCTCTGAAGTCTCCTATCTCCCTTATGCCCCTGAGATGATTTCTTTAGCTTCTTTAAATCTTTCCTTTCCTTTAGTGCCTCATCACTAAACTGGCTACACCTGATTCCTAGCCCAGCCTCCTCTACCATCAGCAAACTGAATAAGACTATCACTCAAATTCGGTACTCTTCCACCTCCCTAGTAAACTTTTACTCTTCAACCCTGCTCTTTCCCATTTAGGTTGATTTGAATCTTCCTGCATGCTTAAGGTGGCTGTTGGGAAAATTTAGGATCTAAGTTAACATCCCACAACCTTACTCTCATTTCAGCTGCACCCTGCTTATGCTTGGCCATAACCTCTGGTCAATTTCCTAGCAGACTACTTCAACGGCTATTCCAAGTTCCCCACCATAAAGACTGAAATCGCCATTCCCTAACCCCTCTCGACAGATGTCCTCACTTGTCATGAGTGATAAACCACTGCAGACCTGATTCCAAGCTCATTCTGTCTCTTCTTTGCTGTCTCTTCACTCCTAAAACCAACTCTGCCACCTGTATATAATATTTAGTTTCATGAAGCCCTGTTTCCTCTAAGTCCTTGTCCTCTCTCAGTCTTTCATCTTGCCTCTGGCTCCTTCTGCTTTACATTTAAACATGGCAAGCTCTCTCCTATTTGGATAAACTCTAAGTTCCCTGAAGGCAGTGGCTGTGTCTGCTTTGTTCACTGCGGTCCTTGGCTCATAGCAGATGCTCAAAAAAAAAAGTTACCCTTTTTTGTTCTCATCTCTCCTGATAACTTTTCTGGGTCTTTTCCTGCCAAACATCTTGAATGAGCACCTTTCCTCTACTGAACCTGTTTTGTTGAAGGTCACTGATAATGCCCCTTAATGCCAATATCAGCCTTTTCTCGGCGTTTACTTTGAACCTTTCCGTAGTGTGTTGTTATTGATCCCTTGACACTTGATTCTGTCTGTTCCCAGAATCCTTGGTTCATCTTAATATGTTATCACTGCTTGTCTTGGTGGCTTCTCTTCTTTATCTTCCCAAAATGAGAGGTGTCCTAGGTTCATTCCTTGGCTCTCTCATCTGTCTCTGTGGAAACTGTCCTTCAATCTGCTGGCATCAACTCTACTCCCAGTGTGGATAATTCAAAACGCTCTCCAGCCTTAACCTTCCTGCTAAGCTCTAATGCCACATTTTCCAATGCCTGGTAGACAATCTCTGGAGATACCTTCATGGCCTGAAGAAGGCCATGAGAGCCCGGTCCCAGGTATTCACTTGATAAAGTATACAAGAGGTAGTAGCGTCTTACCAGAGCCCGCTTCATAAAAGCCTCCTGGGTTGCCTTCTTGTTTGCAGCCTTGCCACCCCAGGCAGCCAGTGCACTGGCCTGCAGGGCCCGTCCGTAAGAGAAACTTAGTTTCCAGGGCTTTGGTAGAGGGCAAAGGTTGATAGCGTTGAGGTTGAGAGTAGCATCCTCTTCACTCATGCCACCAGACAAAAAGCAGATGCCTGAGAGGAGAGAAACCATCCCGCTCTGCTAGTCCCAGCTCTGTTCCCTGCTTGGGAAAGCAAGCAAGGAGCCTAAAAGAAACGTAGCATCTCAGTCTTTCCTCTAATTGATTTGCAAAAGGACTGGGTTGGAGAAATTAGTTTGCCCTCGCTGAGGCTACTTGGGCTAAGGGGAGAAAGGCTTTCATAAATAAGAGGGCAGTCAGATGTTGAGAAATCAACA